ATTTAATGAGGAAGATTGAGAGCAACCGAGCGATGTCACTAGGAGACAAATGCGCACAAAAGCGTAGTCCGTTGAGCGGTCGGTGGCGGGTAGTCCATGGATGACTAGTGAGCATCCAACGTCTTATCGAAACTTCCTTGACGGCTATGGTGGGGGCTAAGAGGCAAATGCAGGAAATCTGAAATAAAATTCAGATTTAGTGTGTTTAGGAGAGGGATTTAATTTGAATTTCAAATTAATCCAAGGAGGGAGAGAGGAGGCGGCAATGGGGAGAAGATTTGGGCTGAATTTATGGAGCTATTAAGGTGATTAGAGAGAGAGGGGCCATTAAGGGGGGAGGAATTGATTTCAAAATTTCAGATTTTGAAATTTGAAATTAAAATCATGGAAAACTGAAATTAAACTTGAGGGAGAAGGGTATTAAAGAGGTGTTTAAGTAGTGATGAGGTGGCAAGTAGAGGATAGAACAATAGGAGAAGGCGGCCGGCCATATGGGAGAGAGAGAGAGGCTTGAATTAAATAGTGGGGACACAATTAATTAATCAAAATTTGAAATTTAGATTTCAGATTTTAATTATGTCATTTAACTCCTTTCTTGAAAGAAAATTTGGAGGGAATTTGAATTTCAAAAAAATGTAACTCCCTTAATAATTCCCCAATTTAAGTGAATTAATTAGGAAAGTCATTAAAGGATGAAAATTCAAACAAGCAAAGGGAAACCAAATGGGCGGCGGTATGGATCCAGGGTGGCGCGGAGGAAGGGCTGGTGGTGGCCGACGGGTGGCCGGATGGAAGACTAGCCGGCGGAAGGTTCCTGCAGGCCGGCGGGATGGGGTGCGGGTTGGTCGGCGGGAGGCTGGCCGGGGTTTGGCTAGGGAAAGGGCGGCGCACAGGCGGCAAGGTCCAAGGAGAGGAAGAAGTATGGAAAATATAAGGATTCAAGGAGTGAATTCCAATTTTCCACAAGTGCTTCAATCCGAATCTCCACGATGATGAATTGACCAAGAAAATAAAGAAAATGATAGAAACGAGAAAAACCTAGAACTCAAAAGAATCTAGCTTCTCCACGAACTCACTAAGAGATCGTGGAGGTTTGCACTCACAAAGAGAACAACAAAGCAAATATTTTTCATTCAATCAAAAACTACTCATTACATAAGAAAAGGGCCATTATAATAGCTCAAAATATAAGAGAAGCAAAAGACTAAAAGTCCCTCTGGGTGGGACAATAACGACATAAAACCATTGAAGGGCATAAAACCGTAGAAAAAACATATAAAATCAAATAAATACTACATAAAATGACTCAAAATAAAACTCAATGAATCGTTGGCCGTTGATCTTCCGGCGTCTCCTGAAGTTACATGATGTCGAAATATCTGACGTATTGTCCCTCAATAATGATTTTTTAATATAATTAGGGATCATTTTTGTCCTTCAAATAGAGTAAAGGGATCATTTTGATTCTTTTCCAATTAAACTATTCAAGACAACTATACTGCATCTGTGAGACAGCATTGAATTCATGCTAATTTAAGTAGAAGTGCAGAAATTTACCACTGTTTCCCATGCATAAAACTTTGATGGATAGAAACGTTATGATTAGAATTTGGCAAGGTACGTTTTTTTTCTCTGTTAATATGATTTTGAATGGCTATAACGAGAATTTTGCAATGGGTGTAGTTTGAGAAATGGATGTGAGCAGGAAATACTGGGAGAAGCCACCAACAAGAGAGTGAGTGAGAGACCCAAGGTGAAAAGTTCTATTTGTTAATTGTGGATTATTGTTTCTCCCCATAGCATTACTCTCTAATTCTATGTTGTCAATTTGATATTGTCCCGTTAATCTAGTTATAATCGCATGCCTTACTTAATTTCAACTGATAATTCTGAAAACCTAACTTGGGTAAGCATTAATTATATAAGTAGCAAAGCTTTAAAAATCTTATATTAAAATCCCCAAGCAGTTCTTGTTTCCATGCATCACGTTTCACATCACATTTTGATCCCTCAAATCCTTAAAAGAGAATCAAAATAGTCTCATGGTGGGACTATTTTTGTTCTTCTTTAAAGAGTTGAGGGATCAAATTAATCTTGTAATATAATTGAGGACTATTTTGATCCTTTTTCTCATAATTTAATCTTTTAATGGCTCACTTTTATTGTCTTGCTTGCTTCCGACTACCGTAAATGTCCACATTTTCATATCTTTTAACTGGCAAACACTCGCTTCCTTTCATCCCCCATCCAAACCACACTTCCATAATGAAATGATTACATATCTAGTTATTTGGCATAGATTATGGATGAAATTTTCTACTTTATAATGGTATGTATCACCATCATTATAAATTATATCATAACTATCTAAACGATCATTTGTCCTGTAACATAAATATGACACATCTTAGGCCATCAAACTTTGATTGATAGATGCCTACAATATTTGGTAATTATGTTTGCAACTAGAAACTCGCTCAATGATTGCTTGAATTTTAGTTGACTCAGAAATAGAAATTGATTTCCTTAGATCCAAGGATGGCTCACTAAAAATTACTTCAACCAGAAATAACTTAATATATGGGTGTTTTTTCACAGGCATGTACACGCACACACATATATATATATATATATATATGTGTGTGTGTGTGTGTGTGTTTGTGTGTGTATAAAAGAATATGTATACAAATGCAAATCATGCCATAAATAACTAAGTAAGAGCTAGTAAGTAAAAGTGCGCATGTGTGGACGCAGACGATGGTTATTATGTTGTGTGCGCGCTCTTGGGAAAAAACCTATGTGCGAGTGTGTTCACATAAGCATATCCATGCCTATGGGGGCACTTTCAAGAGGTAGGCCGCTCACATACACGTGTGCGTGTGCACATGTACAATTTATTCAGCTTGATCAGCTTAATATAGTCTGGATATAGAGCCACTTTTTTGCTTTGATTTGCAAATCATGCTCAAAAGAAAAGATTTTGCTCAATTTAATTTAATAAATTTGAAAACATAACTGAAAAGCAGAAACATATTTTGACAAAATACACAGCAGACCAAATTACACCAAAAAAAATCAATCCAGAAAATCTAAACCACTAGGGAACAGGCACTATGAGAGGTGAAAGTCTTCATTTACATTTGTACAGCCATATTAAATGCTTTGCAGATTGAATAATGGAATTACAGATGCACATACAAAAAATCTGGAGAGCAAAAAATTTATAATTTCAGTTCAAAATTTCAATCATGAAAATTGCATGTTTAATTTTTCAATCATGAAAATATCAAAGCCTATTTTTCAAATATCTGAGACAAATTTATATTACAATACAAGAAAAAAAAAACTTTGGATGATTTCATGTATCAAAGTTGTTTTCAAATCCATTTTATATCCACCCATTTCCATTCGTTGAAATTCTTAAGATAATTAGACGAGCAAAGGGATAGATCTCATTATTCTTTGAAATTATCAAAATGCATGATTATGACCACCATTATAATAAGGAAAAATAAGATAATCTATAATAATTTCATAAAAAATCAATAGAACAAGAGCTAACCTATTTCATCATAGTAGTCACTTTTGTCATATCCATGTGGGTCAAAGACTTCTTTGCTGAAACAAGTACCAATCTCATCAATATCTTGATAACTCACAGCATGCTGCAGAAAATTTGGATTTCGGTAATCCTTCCTATTTCTCAGGTCTGCATTGAAGCTTTTCCCAGCCTTCTTATAAGCAAGAAACTTGTTTATTTTTTCCTGAAATAAGCGCAGGGAGATGTTAAACCACAAAGTCAAGAACCGAAGGTCTTACTCAGATGGGATCATCCACCTGCAATATAGAAAATGACATCTCAGAAAGGAAACAATGGCTACACAAATAGAACCATATGTCATAGCAAGAAAACCGATCTGTACGAAATAAGGAAATAAACTAAAGATAAAATCAACAGTCAGTCCAAAGCTGATAACACAATGAACCCAATTTTTGACCTCAATTCCAATTTGTTTCAACCTAATTTTCAAGAATAAGCTGGAATTTTTGCATAATTCAAAATTTGTCGAACATGAAACAGACTAGCAAGTATGTAAAATGCATGAACCTATAAGACAATGGTAGGAAATACTTCGCAAGTAACTTAAGGTAATACTTGAGTTCACAAGCAATCCTAACCCAAATCGATAAGCAAACAGCAGAGAAACGGCTGTTTGCAGCAGGAAAACAGCAAAAGTCTGCTGTTTACAGCAGGAAATCAGTACAATCCAGGGAAATCTGAGAGAAAAAACTCAAAGCAAGACTTGTATTCCACTAGACAATGAAATAAAATAGCAAAGATACAATTGTTCTTCAAACTGAGAGGAAGAACAACTCTCCAAATCTCCGGCAATGCCAAGAGCCCAAAGCAAAAGAACCCTAGTTCTCAAATTGCAATCAAATTCAAGATAATCTTAATTCCCTCCTATTCCCCAAATTAACATGAAAGGAGAATTACAACTTACCTAATCAACCCTTACATTCAAATATTTCCCCCAAAAAATTGCATTAAACCCATCAAGGGCCCCACAGGATTACCGCCCCTCCTTCCCTGTTCTTCCGCCGAACAAATACCTGGACCGGTCTAGTCGGCCTCTCCTGGGCCAACGTGAGAGCAGCAAGCGTAACATTACTCCCCTCCCAAAAACTCACCTTGTCCTCAAGGTGAAAAAAAGGAAATTACTCTTTCACTCTATCAAATGGTTCCCAAGTAGCATCAAAATCAAGTAGATCCTTCCATCGAATCAGTACTTTCTTATTGCCCTCTTTATCAGATTTACCCCTATAAGCTCCATGGGTTCTAAAATCACTTCCAACTCTTCCGTCATTGATGCGGGTAACTCTGCACTAACTACATGCTCTCCTAGCGCTCTCCTCAGTTGTGACACATGGAACACTGGGCGTATGGTAGCGGAGGCGGGTAACTTCAGACAATACGCCACAGCGCCAATCTTCCCCAAGATCTCATAGGGACCGAAATACCTCGGCGCCAGATTCTCGTTCCGCCTATTAGCCACTGATTTCTGTCTGTAGGGCCTTAGCTTCAAGAACACCTTCTCCCGCACTTAAAATTGCATGTCCCTCCTATGTGAATCCGCCTGTCTCTTCATAATTTGTTGTGCCATTTGCAGATGTTTCTTCAACTCTTCTAGCACCTTGTCCCTTTCCTCCAAATACTGCTCCACTGATGACACTGGTGTGCTTCCCTTCCCATAGTGCACTAGGCGTGGGGAGTCTCTGCCATACATCACCTTGAAAGGCGTCATTTGAGAAGCATAAGGGTACGAGGTATTGTATAAATACTCGGCCCAAGGTAACCACTTCGCCCACATCCGCGGTTTTTCGGATGCAAAACACCTCAAATATGCTTCCAAGCTCCGTTTTATCACCTCCGTTTGTCCGTCAGTCTGTGGATGGTAAGCAATACTTCTCTTGAGAATTGTGCCCTGCATTCTGAAAAGCTCCTTCCAAAACTGGCTAAGGAACACCTTGTCCCTGTCAGACACAATCGACTCAGGAACCCCATGTAATCTCACCACTTCCCTGATAAATGTTGTCGTTACTGATACGGCGTTGTACGGATGTCGTAAGATAATAAAGTGAGCATACTTGCTAAGTCGATCCACCACTACCAGAATGATTGTGAATCCTTCTAAGCGGGGGAGGTCGTCAATGAATTCCATAGATACTTCCTCCCACACTTTGTTTGGAAGTGCTAATGGTTGAAGTAGCCCTTCTGGTGTCATCGCCATATATTTATTTCACTGACATACCTCACACCTTGCTACCATCTCTTCCACATCTTTATACATCCACTTCCACTACAGCTCCGCTGTCAGCCTTCTGTATGTCTTATGTACTCCTGAAAGCCCCCCAACAGCACTGCCGTGAAATTCCTGTAGTAAGTGAGGAATGTATGTTGATGTTCGTGGCATCACGAACCTCCCATGATGTAACAACTTCTCCCCCTCCAGATAGTACCCCGAATGGTTACTACTATCCTTCCTCAAGTCTTCCTTGATTTTCTTCAGCTCCTTGCTCTGTAGGCTTTCTTCTTTGATGGCCCCCCCAGTTAACCATCAGTGGTACTGATATTGCCAACTCCTGAAGTTCCCCAATACATCTGGATAAGGCGTCAGCCGCCTTATTTTCCACCCCTGGTCGGTACTGGATCTCAAAGTTATAGCCCAAAAGCTTTGACAGCCACCTCTAATGTTCCTCGGTCACCATCCGTTGTTCTAACAAGTATTTCAAACTCCTCTAGTTCGTACGAACAATGAAGTGTCTCCCCAAAAGATAAGGGCGCCACTTCTGAATGGCTAGGACGATGGCCATCAGCTCTCTCTCATATCATGACTTCAATCGAGCCCTGGTCGATAGCACCTGACTGAAATAGGCTACAGGCTTGTGATCCTGCATCAAAACTGCTCCCAAGCCATACCCTGATGCATCAGTCTTCACTATAAAGGTATGGCTAAAATTTGGAAGAGCTAACACTGGCACCGTCGTCATGGCTTTCTTTAACCTCTCAAAAGCCTGGGTTGCCGCCTCTCCCCATAAGAAATTGTTCTTCTTCAGTTGCTCAGTCAAAGGCCACGCGGTAGTACTGTACTCCTTCACAAACCTCCTATAGTAACTAGTCAGACCTAAGAAACCTCTCAACTCCCTTATGTTCTTAGGCCTTGGCCAGTTCTGCATGGCCTCAATCTTAGACTGGTCGGCTGCCACTCCCTCTTGAGACACCACGTGTCCCAAATATTCCACCCTCGACTGGGCAAAATTGCACTTCTTTAAATTAGCTTTCAGCTGATGCTCCTGTAGGATATTCATAACCTCCTTCAGGTGCTCTAAGTGCTCCTCCTCAGTTTGGTTGTACACCAAAATATCATAAAAATAAACTAGCACAAACTTCCTGAGATGCTGCTTAAACACTCTGTTCATCAAAGACTGAAAAGTAGCAGGGGCGTTAGTGAGCCCGAAAGGCATCACCAGGAACTCGTAATGCCCCTCGTGCATCCTGAAAGCCGTATTCTGAATATCCTCATCCTTCATTTTGATTTGGTGGTAGCCTGACTTCAGGTCCATCTTAGAAAACACTACTGCTCCGTGCAACTCTTCTAGCAACTCATCAATCACCGGAATAAGAAACTTATATGGTACTGTCTCCTTGTTCAAAGCCCTGTAATCCACGCAAAACCTCCAACTCTCATTTTTCTTCTTGACTAGTAGGACGGGGCTAGAGAAAGGACTCGCGCTGGGTCTGACTATTCCTGCCTCCAACATCTCCCTGATCAGCTTCTCTATTTCATCTTTTTGAATCTGAGGGTATCGGTATGGTCGAACACTAATTGGTAACACCCCGTCCTTCAGAAGAATTGCATGCTCTTGCTCTCTGGGTGGTGGTAAGCCCTGAGGTGGTTGGAACACCTCCCTGAATTGCTGTATGAGCGGTTGCACCACTAGTCGAATGTCTCCCTCATCCCCCACACTCACCCTCTCCAAGCACTGCAGCTCCACCAAATATCCACCTCCCACCTCCTGTATGGATATGATCATGGACTTGAGAGATACTCCAGCCTTGGTCAGGATAGCATCACCCTGAATCGTCCTCCTTCTTCCTCCCATCACAAATTCCATCCTTAGTGTCCCTTAATTAATCTCGGTCTCCCCCAATGTTTGCAACCACTTCATCCATAGGATGACGTCGTTACTCATTTACTCCCCAATTCCAAGGGAAGGAAGTTCTCTCTCACCTGGATCCCCTGAATCTTCAGCACTACCCCTCTGCAAACTCTACCATTTCCACATTTCCTGTGCCCATCATCACCCCATAGCCTCCCGTATCCACTAACTCCATCCCCAACAACTCAACGATCTGGGTGAAAATGAAATTGTGGGTTGCCCCACTATCAATCAACACCACCACCTCACGGTCAGCTATCTCTCATTTCACTTTCATAGTGTGACTCAGAGTGAATCTCGCTACAGAGTTCAGAGAGACTTCTATCACATCCAAGTGCAACTTTTTCTCCTTTTCAGATCTGCTCCCACCTCCCTCCTCGTCTTCCTCGTCTTCACAGACAAGGAGAACTTGAAGAGTTTGGCCCTTGCACCTATGCCCCAGCATGTACTTCTCATCACATTTGAAGCAAAACCCCTTTGCATTCTTATCCTGCATCTCCTTCTCTGTCAACTTTTTGATTTGTCCCACATTTCCCCCTCCAATTTTCTCCTTTGGTGCTTCCTTTAGACTCCCTGGCGTTGCCCCTTTTGATGGTAAGAATGTGGTAGTCATATTGTATGATCCCCCTGAATAGTTCTCTCGAGCTCCTATTTCTGATTTCTTCTGATCTTCCACCAACTGCGCCAGCTCCATAGCCTTCCCTAGGTTCATCGGCTCGAACACTCTGACTGTTGTTCGTATCTCCGGTTTTAGCCCCTTCATGAATTTCCCTTCCAAGGCTGACAATGTGATACAATCTGCTAACCAAGTACTCGAACTTGTCCCGAAAGTCTGCCACGGTCCCCTCCCGAGTCAAAGCAAAGAATTGCTCATAGAAGTCTCCTACCCCCATCGGCTCGAAAACGCTCCAATAAGCAATCCTTGAACTCTCTCCAGCTCCGGATGGGCTCCCTCCTGTCACGCCACTGATATCAGGCCAAGGCTTTTCCTTCAAAACACAATCCTGCCGCCGTCAGCTTCTCTTCCTCTGCCAACCCGTTG